GATACATTGGTGGGCAGAGCACAGATAGCCAATGTGTAGCTTTGTGCTTAATTACAAACAAAATTATTGTCTGTTGTATGCCCATGTAACTATTTCGTAGGGTGTGGATAGAACTTCACCAAAATTGGTATGGAGATTCATTAGGTCTATGCGGGAGTACATACAAAGTTTCAGTTTTGCTTTTATGCGGTTTTTATGGACGTTTTTTTTTACCACTACTTCACCTCCTGTAGATTGATCTTCAGTAAATTTGGTATGGAGGTTCATTAGGTCCATGGGAAGATACATACAAACTTGCGGTTTCACATTTTGTGTTTTGCAGTTTTTATGGGCGTTACAATTACATATAAGGGAAGCAACTTTTCATCTCCTAAAATAATCTTTCATTAATCATAAGTTTACATAACTTCCATCCAGGGGATGCGTACTCCAGCCAGTTACTTATATGTGCTTAAAAACTTGTTTGTTTTTTACCACTAAATTATTATTTATAAGATTTCAATTAAACCTCTATAAGGCATACTGGGTGCTAACTATTTGGGATAAATTTTATTTTCTTAACTGTAGACATGAGCTCTTCTAAAACTTTTAGGGTAATAACCAAGTGAAAAATTGTTAATTTGCTTGACAGACAGTTAGTAATGAACATTTGATTAGATTTTATATTATTATGGTTTTAATTATTTTAAAACTGTTCTACACATTATTATTATTAATATTCTAGGTGTTAAAAGGTGGGTGTTTAAAATATATATAATAATAACGTTGTAACGCCATCTAGTAGCGTAATGTTGCTAAATGGGACTTTCTATATTCGAACTAACACTTTTGATTTTTAAAAAGACCCAAATATAGAAGAGACTAATAATTTTGATGCTCAAGTGAAAGTACAAGTTAAAAAACAAGCAAATTTCAAAGCAAAAATATAGTCACGATAATACTGCATTTCGTTGCAACCTTAGCTGTGATTTGGACTGTTACGTTTTATGCGGTTAAACATATATTTCCATATATATATATTTAGTTTTTCAAATCCTAAGAAGCTATCTAAAGAGACAGTGTTTTATGTATTAGACTTTCGTATAAATCTTGATGTTTGCGAATTGAGTTAAGTGCTTATCACACAGAATCCAGTGTAAAATCATTCCAAGTAGTGTCCTGATAGATAGACAAACCATTGCTTAAGTAAGTTGTACCACCAAAGCATATATATGAAATAAAGCTATATGTTATACGATTTTTCTGCCTTTTTCGTTTATCTGTTTGTTTGTAAAGCATTACATTGATTGCACTAAGTTCTTACTTATTGCCGAGAACTGTTAAAATTTATTAAGCTTTTAACCCTATTGCTACGGGTCACGGGTCAAAGGCCATGTCACCGTGTTTGCTGACTTGCATTCACATTTTTATTGAACTATTAATTTATGAATTTATGTCAATAAGTTTGGTATAAAACTGTACACTTTATAATTTAAATTTCTAGTATTATACATTATTTAATTCCTTAATTTAAAAGTAAATACAAAAAAATAAAAACACCTAAACATCGATTTTTGTGTGTCACGTGGTATGTTGAATGCAGCACTGGTTCAGATTAGATGTTTTTGATGTCAAAATACAAAATCAATAGTTTCGTACGAATTAGGAACTCAAATTACCAAAATTTACAAGCAAGAATATAAAACAATAACTCCTATCTTTTCTATTTGCTGATATATCGCTCATGTACTGAATCAAACATAGTGTATGTGTGTATTATATTACTTTTTTAATAACAAGCATCTTAATTTTTGTTACTAGATATCGTATATTTATACTTTAATGTAAGTTATAACTGACGACCCATTTATATAATTTCAAACTACATTTTTGCGTAAGTTTATTTGTTTCAGCACAAAGCTACACAATGGGCTATCTGCACTCTGTCCACCGAGAATAACGAAACTCAATTGTGAACGTAGACAAGTTTTTGTAACTGGTGTAAAGACATTATTTTGAAACACTTTAAAAACAGAAGAAGAAGACAGGAAGGATATATATATACACACATACACAATATATATATATATATATATATATGTAAGAATAGCGACATTTTCAGTTGATTGATGAGAAGAGGTTCTTTAGGATAGCAATGGACATCTTGCTGTTTACTGGCAATCACTTTTTGGAGGTCTTTCTTGCCCTTGGTTATTTCTTCTTTTGTCTGACACAGATCAGCAGTTGCTCTGAATAGTTAGTTACTCTGGTGTTTGTCTTTTTTTTTTTGCCAAAGGCGAAGGATCCAGGTCTCCACTCATCGTTTTACCAGAAACTGACAGAGGCTGTGCCATTGAACTACTGCAGGTAAAAGTACATTGGTTGGGACTTGGATGGTGGCTATCTCAGTAGTTTCAATGGTTTTGCTAATGAAGACAAGTTGGAAATAACCTGTGTGACGGTTCAATCAGCTACTTGTAGGGCTGGCTGGGTGTATTGTGGCTACTTACTGCAAGGATGGGTTGGTTGAACTTTTCAGTAACTGAATATTCGTTAGATAATATGTTTGACCTAATGTGGATCTAAATGGACACACTTACATATAAGACCTAAATATTCATGATATTGATGGTGTTATGAATAACCGGATCAATCTCGTGATACCATTTAATCAAAATCGAACTTTTTTGATGCTACAGCCATCGTCAGTTGACTGCTGTAACTGGCCGCCCTAGCTGTAGGTCAAAATTAATCCTAGCCTATTATAATGCTCACGTTGTACTTGCCCTTTTCAGTAGTGCAGCTACTCAGTATCAGCTCTTCCAAAAACAACCAAGGTAGAGCTAATCTTGTCTTTCTCTTCGTCAGATAGGTCAAAGTTATTAGTAACAGAGCTACCACCTCTGTCCATCTTTTTAATCGCATAAGTCTCTGAATGCTGTTCAATCATTGCTACATATCTGACACATATAACCTCAGTTTGTCCATGTGTTTTACGTTCGTTTGTGCTCCATGAGACATCCGGAACTCATATTTTGATTGATTGAGCAGTTGAACGAGAAGATTAAAATCCAGCTTATTTAGAGTTGAGTAACCGATACACTGCCAGCTTAAATCATAGACAAACCTATTCCCCATCTTTCAAATGGTATATCCCTTTTTTTTCATCACAACCCTATATTCTGATGCAAGGTACGCACTTCACTTAGTAATATGTTTCATCTTTTTCTTGCAAACAATGTTGAATCCGTACTAGACCACACCGTAACCTGTGGTGAACTGAACTTTATGCCTAAATATTAATAAATCTGGGAACAGCCCAAAGGCTCCTGGTCTATGGCCGAGTGTGCCATCTGAAGATATAGCAGGTGATCATCCCAATCATGGGCCTACAAACATAGCAAGCATACATATTAAAAGTGTATACAAACTACTTGGCTATACATCAAACAAGATCTTTGGTAAAGCCCAAATCTCCAACACTCTAGTTGTTGGTACAACTTTCCATGTAGCAGGCTGTTTAAATTTGTTGTCCAAATTCTGTCAAAGTTAATATCTTGGTGAGAAGATAATATTCAAACATTAGTAAAGTAATCAGCACGCAGAAATTACAATTAATAGTCTCTGGGGAAAGTTTGATGACATCCAAAGGTATAAGCTGGAGTGGAAAGCCCACAGCTCTCTCTCTAAGTTTCCAGTAGTATTGATCTAACTTAAGTTTTGAAAATATGTGAATAAAAGTAAGTAAAAAAATTTCATATAATTTGCGACTATGCATACAGTTTAATATTATTCCGAATACTTCATTTTTCAAAATACAAACTGAGATGAAATTGTTAAGGTGTGAACACCCTTTTCAAGCTAAAAGTAAAACACACCAATTCCACAAAGGAGGCAGTTGCCAGAGAAATATTTAAAAGTCACTAGATGTCGCTAGTTATGCATTCTAAAGGCGTCAAAAACGTAACCGAACAAATTCTCTATAGAATTCAATATAGAATTAAAATAATCCCTATATTATTCTCTATAGATTGTATGTCAACAGGATGGGAAATTTTCGTTACAATGAGGAGACTATACGCTCTAGAAATAACACAGTACAGAATTTCTATATTCACTAAACACTTAAAATGTATTGCATTGACACTACTGAGCTGCTTGTGAGTGATTTTGTGTCTTACAAATTGGCGAATTCTCTTTCTGGATAACACTGTTGTCGGCAGTGAAAGTCGTTAGTTACTTTGAAAAAAGCTTTGTCATTAGGGAAACCGAAAAGTCGCTAAGTTGCCAAGATTCCCAAGAAACAAAGCAACATAATGGTTAGTGCAACGAAGCTCATATTCGTTTAGGACCCAAATACAACTAAAAAAATAGTATATTTTGACATATTATCTGTAAAAATCTGTATTTTTATAAATATAATTTAAAAAAACAGCTAACAATTTACGTTTTTGTAGTTTTAGTTGTTGTGATAACTTGGGATGTTTTATAGTTAGAATAGCAAGAACGGCATTACGATTAATAGTACAGTTCTAGTTTTTTTTTTTTTTTTTTTTTTGTTATAGCTTACCACGTCTGCAGAGTGTGTTAGTGTATGTATGTACGAAAACAAATTTGGTAGGTGAATATTAAATTTATGTATACTAATAGTAATACTTAAGATATATTTATTACTATAAATGCAATTAGTAAAGAATGGATTATAAACTTGAAACTTATAATCCAACATTTGAAGTTTGTTTTAAGTTAAAAATTAATGGTGTGTTGGCCAACAGTTTATATATGTCAATCTTATTCTGTCTGGACAGTAGACTTAAGTGAAGACAAGCTCTACAGAGTAAAAATGTTACCTAACCCTAATACTAGTATTAGTAGTAATAGTAATAAGTAATATTATATTAACGTAAAGTGATTATGATAAACATGTTTCCCAGTTTGCTCCTGAAGAAGAAAGGTTCAGCTTTACAAAGCGCTCTGGTTAACTTATAAGTTATAGGGTTTTTATCTTGTAATTGTATCACGACTTCTTGAACCTACGTTTTTTTTTTACATTTATGATAAAGATGTTATAATCTGAGATTTTATGTTTAGTATTTTTCTGACTTATGATTAATGTTAGATATTAATGTTTGTTTTATTAATACAAATTAAGTAGTTCTAGTAGTCCTGTGAAATTTGTAGGGAGAAACACAAGGAATGGTATTAATTGTATTTTCAGCTTATTAGAAGTTTTATGTTATGTTGCTTATGCTATTTTAGTGTACAACATTTCAGGACAAAAAAGTACCTTCACACCAAATTGTTGTACCTGAAGAAGTCTTATCATATTAAAATGAAGGGTAGTTCAAAAATGTCTTTGAAAACAAGATACCAAAACAAGTTGAAAATAGGAACATTAGACTCGTATAGAAATAGTTAATTAGTTTAATATATTTGATCAATTAGCAAATTGCACTAATTGCTTATCTCTAGTTTTAATGTCTTTAGTAAATTTAGGTAATTGTAATTCTATCAATGTCATTAATGTAAATGTCATAACCTATGAACAGCAATGGATCATTTGCCTTTCAAGATTGTCCTTGCACACCCACCCTTTACTTTTTAGGAAAATCTTTGATTCCTTTCTTAAGTGGCCTATACTGTTGGTGAAAGAAACTTGATTTATTAGAAAATCCCTGTTAGAAAAAGAAAGCTGTTTTACGTAGATCCTAACCTATCTTTTCCAAATGTTAAATCTTTGTCTCTCATTCTGTTATCTTTAGAATATAGAAGAAAGAAGTCAAAAGCTTTTATGTTATCAATCCCCTAGATAATCTAATAAACTTTAGTAAGATTGCCTCGTCTTTTCCCAAGAAATCTATTAGATAACCCTTTCATCTCTGAAATCATCATAGTACCCTTTCTAGTAATTTAATATCATCCTTCATAGATTAAGGGACCACTAACAAAAACAGAAAAAAAAGCAAAGAGCCCCAAGCACTGACCTCTAAGGCACAGAGCTAGTAACAAAAGCTCTATTTGACTAGACTCTGTTAATTAATAACTATATTTTGCTTGCTCTCACACAAGTACTACCCTGTTTGTAAAATTAAACTGTCTTGGCTGGGGCCAAACCTGTATTTTCACAGAGCTAGTAACAAAAGCTCTATTTGACAAGACTCTGTTAATTAATAACTATATTTTGCTTGCTCTCACCCAAGTACTACCCTGTTTGTTAAATTAAACTGACTTGGCTGGGGTCAAACCTGTATTTTCTTATTCTTATGTCATCTCATCAGCTTGCTTTCATAGTACTACACAGAGTAATCAGAGGTCTTTATTTCTTTTTGAACACCTTGAAAATCTTTTAAACTTTTGTGCTTATCCTTTTCCTCCTTTCAGGAGCATACTTTTCGTGAATGAAAAACAACTAAGTTTCAATATTTTCCAAAATCTGTCCCACAATACTTTTTTAACCTGTAACCCATAAATCTTGTCTAATGGCCTGAAAATTGGCTTTTTAAAAATTAGGGGCTAAAATCTCGTCATGTTACGAAACCTTTAACCTAATTATGAAATAATTCTTTCTCAAATGTTTTACCACTTCAACTCATGTAAACACCTTCTTATTAGTGGCTTACAATAAATCTGAAATGTCATCCTTTCTGTTTGATTCATTGACTCTTTGTTAAAGAAAAGCATTCTGAATCATTTCAAGAAACCTTTTTCCCTCACTACTTGACTCCATATAATCTCAGTATTTCCTTACTATTATCAACACTGATCTCATTATACAAAATATCTCTTTGACTTTACATGTGTGATAGCTTTTATTCAATTGCATAGTGCAGATTATAAAATTTGTACAATTTTATGTTGTTATTCAGTACCACTTTAAGATTGTTTGTTTGGTTGAAAGTAATCCCTGTATTCTTGATATGCGAAACAAAAAATATTGTTTCATTTTAATTTCAACAAGTACTTCAACCTGTGAAAAAAAAAGAGAATTCATCTACTTAATTTTGGTAAATTTAGTTTCCCACAATAATTGTTTCTGTGGGTAGTGTAACAAATCTTATTTTATGTAATTATATCTGATTCAAAGAATGGCCAAATACACACATATATATATATTAATGAATTAATGTAAACACATTATTGAATAGGCTTATTTTAATGCATACAGTACAGTGCGGTTTATTGTGATTAACCTGTGCCAATGTAAAGCTTTTTCTGTTTATACATTCAGTGGTGCAAGTTCATTATTCATTGCTTTTAACTGAAAAAATGCTGACACTTTTATGTTAAGTAAATAATGAATCTAAGTTCTGAAATGAGAAAAACAGTTTATAATTTGGTAGATAAAAGATTCTGACTATTCAGCATAACCATCAACATAGTATTAAATAAAAACCATTTTGTAATGAGCAAGCAAAGTTGAAATTGGCAGTAATTGCCTGGTTCATCGTGACATGTGTGGAGAAAGTCTTCAAAGACTAATATACTAAAGTAACAAAGATGAGAAGAGCAACATTTCAATAAACTTCCACCTTTTGTTTTGAAGTGCAAGTATAACAGAAAAGACCTGAAGACAAAAGTCTTTTGAAACGTTGTCTTTTCCATCTGTGATACTTTTGTAGATTAGTCCACCAAGACTCTCCATGAGTATCGTGCTGAAATATGCTGTTGCTGCTTGTTTCACCTTTGTTTACTCATGAAGACTGCCTAAATTATCTCTTAAAGAAGCTTTTTCGTACTTGTAAATGAATATGTAATATGATCACCATATTTTTTACATGAAATGTTTATTTTTCTTGTTTAACACCACATTTTTAATATTCTGCAGATGGAATAGAAAAAGAAGAATGTTGTTCTAGCAAGCAAGCCACATTAATTTTAAAACATAATAAAGCTGTGAGTATCCTCTTGTTAATTTTAGTTCCATGATACAATGTAGTGTATTCTTCTGTGAGTCACTGTGGCTTAAGTTTTGTATGGTATCTATCACCTGGAATCCATTCTCATTATCTGATGTAAAGGTAACAAAAGACACAAGTGTAATTATTTGAATGTTTTTCTTTTCAGTAGTATACTTATAAGCAAAGTGTTCATGATGTATGTGAATAGCGTAAAACAAAGGAATGGTTGAGTGAAAGCATAATGTATAAAAAATCTAGATAAAGAAAATACAGTTTGTTGTAACATTAAGGGAATACAATAAATTTATAGTGCCTGGATAAATGCATCCTGTGTCAGTGGCAAAATTGCAATATTAGATTTAAAAAGAACATAGAAAAAAATGTATAATAATTCTTCCAAACATTTTTTTCAAAATACTTTTTAGTTAAAATTTTTTTAATAAAGAAGTTTTATTTATATAATTTTATGCAAAAAAAATTAAAAATTGTAGTGTTAGATTTTTGGTTTATTTCAGCAACCTCTGAACAAAATCATTATTGTTCATGAATTTCCTGAGCATAATATGACATTCATAGCTCCCTAGGAGGAAAGTCATGATTGTTTTGAACAAGATAGTAATTTCAACTTTTTAATTCAATACAAGTGTTGTTTTATCAATTCTATCCAATTACTGTTTCACAACCCTGGTTGTCATGATGTGATGTAATTGCCTGTATATCACTTCAAGGAGTAGTAGGCTAGTAACCTAATCATGTGGCTAAAGCTATTTTTTCTGTTCTTTTCAACTTTATAAGCCAGTATGGCTTCCAGTTCAGCAGAGACTCCCATAGGGATCAGAAAATCTTTTTATAACAGCTTAGTTTGGTGATATGTTGCAGGTGTAAAAGATGTTTTTGAACAGTTTCCATCACCATTACAGTCCAGTCTTGATTTTTGTGTGACCGAACTATTGAAACAGGCATTAGGAAACTATCGTCTTTGTCAGAACTGAGTGATTAACTTGATTAATCAATATAATAGCTTATATCAATTTGTGTCACACAAATTATCAATTAATTGAAATTATGCTTAAATCATTTTATATTACAAAATTATCAACTAATCAAAGTACGTGTTTCTGACTGTTTTAAGTATCAAAGGAATCAAAATATTGACATTGTGATTTTTCTTTCTAATTTTTGATTAATTTAAGGTTGTTCAGCATTATTGATTAGTATAACAACTTCTAAAAATAATTCACTAATTGAAATCAGTGTTTCTGATTATTTTATTATTCTTTTTGATTATTCCAACTATCAAAGTATCATGTGAGAATAATTGATTTGTTGAATATAATCAATTAATGAGTCCAACAATTAATTGATTAGCAAATTCCACTAATTGCCAAGCTCTAGTCCTCATACACTAGATACATTATTGAAAGCAAACAAGGAGGAATGGTGTGCTTTGGCCATGATAGAATTATGATACAGCCTTTTGCAATGGAAACTTCATTGCAGGGCTATTGTCAAGATGTATGTTTGTCAGATAGAACATGACTGGACATGGCAACAAAGACTGTAATGATGTGGTGAGGCTTCAGAATCGTTTTAATATAACTTACTCAGCTTCTTCCTGGTTCTTTCTTAAAGCAGATTTAAAAAGAAATTAAAAGAGGATTGATGTAAACACACTGATAGGTAGAAAGTTACCTTCATTTGTTACCTAATATATAATATGTGATTGGTGAAATAAAAATTATTATTAACATTCCAAGATCCAGGAAATAGACATTATGCATAAGTACTTGTATTTTATAGGCATTTAGAGATTTATCCCATTATCAATCTTTAACTATATATTTATAGCTCATACGTAAGAGCTTACAGACAAGGTGATACTACAAATTGTTAAAATTCTAAGTCTAGTGCTTAGCTAGCATATATTCATAGCACTATACACTAACAGAAGCCATGCTTCTATTGTAGATGTGATACTAAACATACATCATTATATAACCTACATCTACAATTTTTAAGTGTCAATGCTACGACCTATATCTACGCCTTCTGACTGGCACAAGGACACGTATTGTTTCATATGTAAATGTGTGTATGTCAGCTTTCTGTATATGCCCAGTGCTAACGTAAATCTTGGTTGGATAACGATTTGTTTAGCAACTTAGTAGAAATCAGTGATTAGCACAAGGACACACATGTTGTTTTATATTTAGAATATCCATAATCACATTTTCAACTCTTAACAAAGCTGCTTGACTGCAGAACACATGAAAGATTTGACAATTCTTTCGATAGACATTGAACATTAGTTGTAGATATGCAATTGAAATTTTTGTTACTGCAGACAAGTAAAAGTTCTTACTTTAAATATGCATAATAACGTAATTTCAGACCCGTGGTTTTAGTGCTGTTTAAAACCATAATAGTGAGAACATTTTCCATTGTCTTAAACTCAGAACTTTTGATTTTTTTAATTACTTCATTTATATTTGATTAAGTATGACTAAAGATAAAAGTTCAGAAAATACTATGTTGCTTATTTTGTGATCTAGTTTAGAGAATTTCATTTTATGTCAGTTGCAAAACAAATTCAGCAACTGATACAAACCAAACTTCACTGCTTAGTACTTGTTTATTATTCAACTTTGAATTCAAATTAAAGAATAAATCTGTGTTAGGAAATGAAAAATATTTTAATGAAAACCAGTTCTACAACTTAGATAAAATAAGCTTAACAGAATTATTTTATAAATTATTATATCAAGTAATATTTTTCAAAATAGATTTAAAAAAATGTAAATGTAATTTTTATTGAGACAATTGTAGAACTACAAGTTACAACTCAAACTTGATATAAGTCAATTTTGAATTTTAAGTGGGCATTTTTTTTTCTGTTAATCTATGCAAATTATTATTGGCTTTAAACAATATCTAATCTATATCTAGTTTTATCTATAACTGATGATTATTCATGATCAGTGTAAACAGTTCAAAACAGTGTCAGTATATCTTAAAGTCTGTGAACCATATATTCAATACCATTTGGATTGGATTGCAGTGAAATTAGTGAAAATCACAAATTTCAACTTGTTACTGTCAAAAAACTTGTAATTAAATTGTTTAGAGGTGTAATTTATCATAGGGCACATGACAATACCTAAATTATGGTTTGGGGGTGGCTTCATTTTGACACTTATAAGATCAAGCCAAAAAAAAGATCATGAAGTTATGTAATATATTTATTTCAGCAAAATGGGCAAGATTCCATTAATTTTGTGCAAAAAATGGTAGTTAAGTACTTGAACATAACTCCCGAACTACAGGACATGTATATTTTGGAATGCATGGACAAAAAAGCTAAATTGACCACTGATTATTATTAAAAGTAATGAGCCAGATTCTTTTTTTTTTTGTATATATATCTAACAAATTTCCTTAATATTAGCAGAATGACATAAAAATATATTTAGAAAACTGTTTTGCTGTAGGCTCCTTCAGTATGTCTTCATCATCATTAACTCTTATTTTCTTGTAGTATAATTAATTAAAATATAAAAGCATATTTATATTGAATTATTTCTTTGTTGTTAATTAATTGTTACTGTAACGATTTTGATTTCTTTTATTTAGTTGTTTTTTTTCCTGTTTTTATAACATGAATCTTTTCAGGTGAAATTTATATCAATTCTTTAGCTATGATATGTAATTCCTTTTGGTTATTATTGTTCTTTGATTTGGCACACAAATAGCATGACACAGAAGACAGATGAAGATGAAGCAATAATGTCTGGTCCACAAGGAAGATGTAATGATGAGGAACTTCTTCGGTTGCCACCACAGGAGTTGGTAAGAAGGTTAAGAAGAACTGAAGCTGAGAATTTGAAGCTGATGATGGATCATGGCGGATTAATGAAGGATTTCAATCGACGTATGCAGGTTTGTTGCATTGTATGATACATACACGTCACTTTGTTATTATTAGCAGAAATTTAAAATGAATAGAAACTTTAAAGGTAATTTTGCTATTAAAATTATGTGTATATCTGTGTGTGTGTCTTAATTTAGGTTCATCTTATGGAAATACGAGGACTAAAAGATGTCAACCAGAGACTTCAAGATGACAATCAGGAGCTTAGGGATCTCTGTTGTTTCCTTGATGATGACCGACAAAAAGGCCGAAAGCTAGCTCGAGAGTGGCAGCGGTTTGGCCGCTATACCGCAAGTGTGATGAGACAAGAAGTTTCAGCTTATCAGTCAAAATTGCAGGAACTGGACAGCAAACAACAAGAATTGATTCGTGACAACTTAGAACTGAAGGTGAGAATCCTCTGTATAATTAAGTTGATGATACAAAAATGTTTTGTTTAGGCCTATCTTGATATTAAGCTTTGATTTAGACCTATCTTGAGTGAGAATTATGTTTTTGTTGCAAATATTAAGAAAGAGGTAAATTCAGTTTTTAAGATAATTTAAACTAAGTTGTCTAAGACACTAAAGGTTTGATAATTTGTTTTCATAATTGCAACTCTGTTCATAACAGTAATGTATTTAGAAAATATGGTACTATTATTTATAAAGAATAAAAAATTAGCCTATGCATGTGGTTAGGTGAGAGTAAAAATTAGAGCATAAGTTAATACTAGATGTAATAATATGACGTTATTAATATTCCTCTCTCTTGAATTTTTATGTATATAGAATAGAAAAAAGTTACTTGGTTATACATTGTTGGAATAAAAGTAGTTTATTATCAGCTCAGTGGTTGCATTAGATACTTGGTTATACACTGTTGGAATAAAAGTAGTTTATTATCAGCTCACTGGTTGCATTAGATTTTTTGTGCATGCATTCTAAAATGCGAGTGCAAAAACTTTGTTCCCCCATCTATCAGGAGTTGCATTTGTTTGCACAAAATGAATGGAATCTTATCATTTTGCAGAGATAAACATCATGTAACATGACTATACATAAGTTCATGACCCTTTGGCTTGAATCTGATTGCTACCAAAATGAGGTTGCCCTAAACTATATATTGGTCAAGATTTATGCTGGCATTGATTGATGTTAATTGTAACATAAAGTCATTCCATGTTTTTAGAGTAACAGCTATTAATAAAGCAATTCTAGCAATACTCTAGTTTTATTGCTTTTACCTTTAATTTATTTTTCTTCCAAATGTGATTCAAAATATCCTGTAATTCACAGATGTGCCGAAGTAGAGCATGACCATAGATACCAAATAGTATGTAATACTTTTGTAAAATTTCCTTGATCTGGAATGATACCATAATTATCATTTGTTATTTTTGTTTACTTTGTATTTGTTACTTTTGTTTACCCTGTATTTGTTACTGTTGTTTACCTTGCATTTGTTTACTTTGTATTTGTTTCTTTTGCTGTTCTTTATTCATCCTCTTTGTTTAGTAACAGACTTTTACATCTGTGTTTGAGCTTTCTACCAATGTACCATGTCCTAATGTATGTGATTATATTTTGTTTGATGAATAAAAAAAATCATTATTTTCCTTCTGATGTGTAGTGACTTTCTGAAGGTTGCTAAGTGTTGAATATAATGTAATATGTGATATAGATCTATAGTGTTTTTTTGGTAATTTTTAGATTCTGTTTTATTTACTTATTATGCTTATTTTTACACTAGTGTGGGTACAAATATTGAAATCAAAAGAGATATGAAAAACGTTTGAATAACTTATTTTTATTTCTTTGAAGTTTACTGTCAATAAAGATATACATTGAAATGGCTCTTTTCATTTACACAAGATAACCTATTTCATCTTTGTAATCTGGTAAATTGAAACAGTCTAACAAGGAAACACAACTGTGATTGAAAAGACACGTAATATAGCTGAATAGCATTTCGACAGAAAATGGATATTTCTACAACAGGTACACTTTTTATATTTACCACCTAAGAACAAAGTATGTGTGTTGATTAATTCATTTTAAGGTAAGGGCTACTGAAAATATGGTCAGGGCTAGTAATTTCTTAAAGAACTGGTCTGACTGATCTAGTGATATAAAAAAGTTAATATCAAATATTTTTCTGGTGTGTCTACTCAGTGGGAGATTATGCCGGCAATGTGTCAAAAAGTAACTTCAGTTAAAAGGAATTAAACTATCCTTTTTGACATTAATTGCTATATTGGGAAAACCAGACAATTGGTTTTGATGTTGTTTTTTTTATTTAAATATATATATATATATGTTTTTTAATCATAATTTTATGTATTTTCTTCTGTCACCATCTTGTATGTAATTTCAGTTTAGTAGTGATAACTATTTGTTAAATGTATAATTTATTAGTAATATTAATATTATAGTGATATAAGATATTTTTTAAAAGTAAGTGCCAGCTAGACGTATATTTACAAATGCAAGATTAAGGTGAAATATTAATCTCACTGTCTGCAGTATTGCCATGTGACAGAAGTAGGAAGTAAACTATGAAAGAATCTTTGGGTCTCACTTAGTTTCTTAATATTTCACTTTCACATTTTTAACTCTAGAATGGTAGCGTTAAATTTCTAGTCATTAGCAGCAGGTGGTATGGAGTCATAGTGATCTCACACTGGTGTTCTAGGGCTAATATTTAATATATTTATCAAAATTCAAAACATTTGACAATTTGCTAACATTTAAACTATCAGAATGTTAATTATTAAACTTTCAAAAATATATATATGGAGACATTTTTCTCACTTAGGAACTCTGTTTGTACTTGGATGAAGAAAGGTCTCGTGGAACATGTAGTCAGTGTGGGGGACCATTGAATGGTAGACGTGATGATGGAGATGGTAGTAGTTCGTCTAATAATGAAGAACTAGGATTGGTTGCTCCTCCTAATCCTTCACACTTCTCTTCAACTATAACACAAAGATCTGTGGAAGAAGCAATTCAAAGACATCGTTCTGTTATCAATGGTAAGATTTGTAATTTAAAATACTAATTTTTCTTTATATAATTAAGTGTTGCTTTGTACTGATGTAACCTAAAGTGTGGAATCTAATAACTCAAGTTGTAATAGAGATATCATTAAAATATTTTAACTATGTAGTAGAGAACATGTTGCTGCTTTACATTTCCAGAAAGAACATGTTATTAGGTGTAAGAGGTAAGTTGATGATTCCACAAAGCACATAGTCATATGAGATGAATTTCCATTATGTATTTCCTGTGCCATATTGTAATTTTCGTGGTTGCACTAAATTATGCTTAGTAAAGATTTTGAAATCATTACTGTGATTATGTGCTGGTAGTGGTATGATTGCTTTAATCTAGAATATACAACTTCAAGTAAAATGCTTTCAACTGTGTAAATATGATTTTTTTTTTCAAGTGAGTTGTAGTGGTTCTAGAAAATCACACTAACCCTGTTTTCATAAGAAAGTTTTTAAGTTACATTTGTTTCTATATAACTGATTGTACTGTGATTGAAAAGGTACCATATTTGTAACTTTTGTGCTTGTCCTAATTTTATCTAATTGACTGGTACTGACATTTTTCTAAATTTAAGCAGAAATTATTAATAAATGTAGGTAAAAATTGGAAATTTAAAAAATAGTGTTACGACAGCGGAAGTCACGCGACGCTGGAAGCATGCGCTCTGGAATTTCTAGAAGGATCCTGACTTTTCCTGGCAACTCTAGTCTGTTCCAGGCACCCTCTTTTTTTTTAGTATATAAGTCTGGCAACTAAAGCAGAGAGATAATATAGCAGATAGACAGATATAGAGACAGATAATTCAGTCAAGCGAGCGGTAGTGACGGTAATGTAAAGTGTGTGTTTTGTTATCAAGATTGCAAATGTATTGACAGTAGAAATTCTGTGTATTGCAAAGTTGTATCGAGAAAGAATAAACTAGTTTTAATTAAGAAAGGACTTGTATCGCTGAAAGAATTTATTCCGAAAGTTAAGAAATGACCAGATACGTAACAATATTTAATTACAGGGAGGTTTGTGCACAAACTCATCACTTGTTATTTTATAATATACAAGTAATGATCAGTCAAATGAACACAAACCTCTACCTATTCCTTGCAATGATTAATTAGATCAAACTAGTTGAAGTTTGTTGTTGATGTAGTAGGGCAAGCAATAAAGTTATAGGTGGTATTTGATTATATTAACTTTTGTCATATACATATATATATATATATATGCTGAAAGTTTTTTAACATAAATGGAATATATTCAAATCTTTTTAAATTGTTTGGGTTTATTATTACAATTTTTTGCCTTATACTGTTGTTCATAGTTCACAGAAAAATATTCACATTGCTAAAACAAATTGAAGAGTTTTGATATTATATGCATCAGTTAGATTATCTTTAAATTTTTCAAAAACGATGTGTTATTGATATCATTATAACATTTTTGTACTAAAATGTATGGTACACCTAATACAATATAAAAAATATATATAAACAAATTTTAAATATGTTTACATTTTACCAAAGTGGTTTATGAAAACATTTTTCTTTTTTAAAAAAACAATGTTACCATATAAAGTTCTTTTTTGCTATAAACTTTAGATAAGCCTGATTGAAGACACAAAAATATAAAATTGATTGTTTTTACAGAACAAATTTTGCAATATATAAGAAACCTAGAAAGCCAAGTTCAGCAGTTAGAAGAAGAGAGATCTCTATTTCAGGTACTATGACTGTTACATTCATGACAATGATTGTAAGTTTATTTGTTCCCAGAGTTATTTCTTGAATGAATAATAGCTGTTATTTAGTAGATGAAATCCTTTAAAATAGTCACTTATCAGACAAAAAGTTATTGAAGAATGTTGTTCCACAATACGTGAGAAGAAAACTTAGATAACAGATTATAAAGAATAAATTGAGACTTCTAAATGAAAACTTTTTTTATTTTGTGTAACTTTTTTTGCTTAATCGTTGAAAGGTAAGAAAATAAAAGTTCTAATTACACATTTTCTTACCTTTCAATAAACCCAATTCTATTGTAACACAGTCTTTACTGCCTGACGAAGGGCATCTGCCCGAAAAGTTGCACAAAATAAAAATAGAAAAAGTTTACATTTAGACATGTCAACTTATTCTTTATTATATTTTATCCAAGTCAAAAAGTTATTACACTGTAAAGTTGAATTCTTTAACCCTTTTCATACAGATAGGGGTCAGAGTGCATGTCATCACATTTTATAGACTTCCATACAAAATTTTATTAACCTACTATTTTATGAATGTATGTACGTAAATTTGGATTAAAATTGTGGTTTGTAATTCAAATTTCAGTATTGTGCATTATTTAATTTCTTAGTTCAAAAGTAAGTATTAAAATAGCTAAATATATATTGATTTTTTTGTGTGGGACATGGTATATTGTCCACAGCTTTTGCTCAGATTGTATTTTGGGCTTCATAAAATGTAAAGTCTACAGTTTTTAACAAATTAGAAACTCAAATTACCAATATTGACAAACTAGAATGTGAAATAAGAACCTCCTACCTTTTCTATTTGCTTAGATATTATTATATGTAGTAAACCCACCACAGTGACTCTGCCCACCTCTTCCTCTTTCTTCTTTACCTAAGCCTACTTCTCTTAATTACATGTTTATAACCAGTCAAAAGCACTAATTTTGAACAACATAATCCTGTTAATCTTTCTCAAATATTTACATGGGTAAAGCCATTATTACTATTGCAGAGTTTGAAGAGTTGTGAGCAAGATGGTATGCCACATTACTTATATAATATTGCAGTTTCATCAGCCTTTGAGTTATATCTCCTTCTATTCACCATTCTCCAGTTTTCCCAGAGGCTCTGAGGAGATGTGTTCATAAAAAAAGAGAGAGAGAGAAAAACCCACAGAGTAGCCAGTGTGGCTTCAGAGGGGGATACTTCTTTATCTCCAAATTTGCATCAAGTAAGGGAAAACAAAGTATTCAGTCCACCTGCCCCAGCTCAGTACTCACTATTGAGATGGGGTTTTCTGCAAGACCGGTCCATCAGTATATATATGTGTTTCTGCACGTGTAGACACACATGCAGAGAAGAAATTATTTTCTTATATATCTTTTTAAACTACATTAACTGTTATGGATGCCTGGGTTTTTCTAATCTTAGTAAAAATCTGTCCTTTAACTGGAAGTTTGTATTTGTGTTGTTGATTTTTGTAACTCCATCTTCAAGTTAACAAACTGTTCTTGTAATGTGATTCACATGTCCAAACACATTGACACATAAGTTAATGATCAGCAAAATTTGGATCTCATCTTTTGATGTAAAAATCAACACATATAAACACTCTTCAATCATATTAAAATCAGCAGCTTCATGTCTGTTTTAGAATAAGAGGCACAAGCAGTCAAGAAATGGTAAAATTACAGCTCTTCCTCTCATTACCAAAGAGGCAAGACATACAGTAAGAAAAGGACTCGCACAAAACACAATTCTACTGGTAGATATTAACTCTCTTGCTATGCATAGGTCAAAGTCTGCATGGCACGACTTTTTACAGAGTTACATTCAAAATTTATTTAAAATACTTTATTATCAATGTATACAACTTAGTTTGGCATCAGGAAATAGTTAGTGAATTAAGTTTTCATGTTACATAAGTTTTAATTTTGTAAGGAAATATTTAAATAAATCTTTAATCTACCTTAGTATAAGAATCATGACATTTGTTCTTTAGGTCTTCCCTCCTTCCCTAATTTATTTACCACCATTTTTTGAAGTATGGAATTTAATGTAAATTACTCATAATAATATAGATATTACTAAGGCATTATCTAATTTTAATAACCTTTAATCTTATTTGTTTATGGAGACATAAATTAGAAAAGTAAGCCTACTTGCTATGCTTATCTGTCACATCCTTTCTTTCATTAATTGCCAATAGTTCTCTCTCTACATTTTATATTATATCAATTATAACCAATAGAAAGGCAAAATTTTAATCTGACCAATGACGTATAATGCTACATTGTTTTCAATACAAAGGTATTGTCAACTTTGCCTTCAGTTTGATAGTTTATCTCATAGTGTTCAGATCCAGCAGCTACAGGAATTTATTTAAGCCCCTCTTGTCTTAGTTAGAAAGCCAGTTAAATTGTAATAGTTATAGGACATTTTTTGCTTTGTGCGTGTTATTATTTATTTTTCTTGGGTGCATTATTTAAGTAAATACAAATTATTTAGTGTACTAGTACCAACATTATAAAAACAATTTCATCAGCAACTGGCAGCAAAGAACAATGGTAAATACTGTACTTCTTGTGTTTCATGTATATTTTTGTTTATTGTTATAAAAGTAACTAAAATGTAAAAATTAGAAACTTATTAGGTTAGATTAAGTAAGATAATTAAAAATAATGAATATTTTTCACGAGGCGTACTCGTGAGTAACTTGTTATTCAATATGGTTACGTGAGCTACATGTTTACTAGTGACTTACAGTTTGTATGGCAGGATTAATAGTTAGACACAGCTCAAAGAGTGATAAAACAATAAAATTAAGTATAAATAGGTGTAGACTGTTACAAACTTTAAGCTATTTAGGATAAACAGTTGTAGTTTTCTGTTACGATCTGCAGTCATTCTAGAAAGGAAAAAAAAGGGTAATTTAGATTTATTTCATATTTCTTTATGGTGGTTAAATGTCATCCAAATCAACCGAGTCTGTATAGAGTTAGAGTAGAGAAAATATCAAATAAAATACAAAGTTTCACAGAAAAAAATAAAGTTTGATATTTATTAAGGAAGTTTTAGAGATTACACAAATGAAATTTGAAAATTTTCAGATTAAGAAAAGTATTTTTTAATCTTAACATTAAAATCACTATGCACTCAGAGCTGTCAGCATTCTGGCTCCATATATTCACGGACAAACCTTTAATAAAAGTGCTTAATCAAAATATCTGATTCTTTCTGTACGAAAGTCTTGTAATACTTACTAAAAGCTTGCTAAATTTCATGAAGATACACATACTGTATTAAAAGTTATAGTATTGAAACTCAGATGGTAACTTTGTGATTACTAGGTTGGTCACACTGACTGAACCTATGTGGAAAGAGTTAATATGAACTAGGGGAAAGTCTTGTAATACTTACTAAAAGCTTGCTAAATTTCATGAAGATACACATACTGTATTAAAAGTTATAGTATTGAAACTCAGATGGTAACTTTGTGATTACTAGGTTGGTCACACTGACTGAACCTATGTGGAAAGAGTTAATATGAACTAGGGTTTGACAAGGGTAGAAAATGTATGATCATATATTTTTTTATGAATTTAATGGTGAAATGCTCTCAATAATTAAAACTGATGACTTAAGGGCATAGGGTCATATGAAAAAGCCGAAATATGGGAATGGCATAGGGGTTTGAAATGTTGCATCAGTATCAATAGCATCCTCCAATAGCTGAGGTTTGAATCCCACTTTGGGTGAAATTTTGTTTTTAATTATTTGAAGATGTAATATAAAAAAAATCCATCTTAGATAGAAAAGTAAACCATTTAAAGAGCTAAAAGTTGATATGTTTGTGAAAACTTGGCCCCCCTTTTTTATTTATGTTGCTGCTTATTCCATTTGCAGTAAAAAAAAGGAGTAAAGTTTCCCTGCTTTTTCTTGTTTAAGTTACCCATTTTTACATTATGTCTTTAAAGAGTTTGCCTTTTAATGCAACTTGGCTCCTTTTTTGTTATTTTTAAAATTCTATCTTTATATAGCTAACTTGTTTATTCTAACGTGGCTGATTTTGTACATGTAAATTGTTTTCATCAGGCTGGATGGAGTAGATTATAAACTATTTATGTCAATGTAGTGTAAATAAAGTGGTTTGAGTAGTAATGGATGATTTTGTGAGATGTTGACTAACATTGATCTCCTTTACGGGGTGAACAAAGAGATGGGATGTTTAGGACACTAAAGAACAAACCATAAACCTGGGAATATTTTCATAGTTTCTTTTTCATGTTGATAGCAATTGAAAGTTTTTTCTATTACAGAATATTGGGTAAGCCTAGTTAGGTTTAACAAATAGAGTAAATGATGGCATGTTCCAGTGACTCAAATCCTCATGTATTGATTATTATTGTTAAGTCTGTAGTGCTCAAATGGCACACACAAATACAATAATTCATTATTTGTTGAAAACAAACTATATTTATTAATAAATTTAGTCTGACCAAGAATATGGTTTAGCAAAAATTGCAATACCTAGCCTGCCAAAAGTAACAGTGACTCCATTTTGAAAAATGAGGTCCTCGATCATTGATAAATCAGTTTTTTCAATGTTTTTTATTATTTAAAGCCAGAAGTATTACAGATGGAAATATAAAGAATCAAAGAAATGTGGTATTGAATATCAAAGATATTGAAACTGCTGGATTATAAAATAGAAATTTCTGATTAACAATAAAATAAAAAACTTAAATTCTAAGATAATTTTTTTTTAAACGGTGTTTTTACTATTTAGTAAATATGTACTGCAATTTGTTTAAGTATTGCTATTGTGAGAGTGAATTAAAGAGATATTAGGAATTCTGTATGATTATTAATTACAGGACAGTTAAAGGGAAAGTCTTCATTTGGTGATGATAGCTTTTTCAATCCGCGTGTCTTCATAACCTTTTTCTGTCATGACTTGTATGTGTGCTTCATTGTTTTCATCAGCACAGATTTTATTAATTCAGAAAAGCTTGACTCTATTTGTTTAGTGTTCGTAGGGTAACAGTTGTCTTACTAGACGATATTGTTGTACATCCTTTACGTTTCTGTATAGGTCGTTATATTCAAAGCCATCTTGTAAAGATGCAGTGAGTTCATGTGATAAAGAAATGATCAAGGGTAAATTTGAAAATTTTGCAGAATGATTTAGTACATGAAAAGTTTTGAGTTGATTTAACATCAGCTTTTCAAATATGATAGTGTCATCATTGCAACAAATATAAATGTGAGCTTATCGTAAGAACTGAAATCATAAGAAATAGTTTGTTTTGATATTATCACAAAGAAATAATTTATATATCCATAACTTTTTAAGTGAATTTGAATAAGGTAATTGTTTTGGAGACTTAACAGATAATTGCCAGTTGGCTTTAACATTTGAAGTCTGTATTACTGCATTATAAAGTGCTAAATTTTGTTTCAGAATCACTATAATGGAGGATCAGAATCTCATGGACTTGATATTAGAAAGGGAGCTGTAGGAGAATCTAGGGTAAGTAAATTATATATATATATGTATGTATATTCTTTGAAGCTGGGAAAAGAAAACCTTTGTTTGACAAGAACAAAAAATGGTATAAAATTGGATCACTTGTATATTGTAGATACAAAGAGTGAAGTTTAATTTAGGTCTTTTTCAAGTTTCATTTCCACATTTTACCAGAAGTTAAATTTCTTATTTGGTTGTGTATTATGATCATAACACCACTGATAAAAAATGTACGAGTTAATTAATCTTCTGATATTTTTGAGTCAGTTAGTGTATAATTAATGGTGGCATAATATCATAGCATGAGTTTCTTGAACCATGCTCTATTCTACACATTTTTTTTTCTCTCTGCCTTTACCCCTTTCCAATGTTATGTATGGTCACTTCAAGGGCAAAATTTAAAATTTAGTCTTAAAAAAATCCTAATCTATTTCAATAATTTGGTCCAGAATAAATGTAGGAATGTTATCAAAATATTATATAATGGGTATATCATTAATTTTTACATTTTACAAAATGTCTTAAACTTTCATTTTAGTGCCATGTGTAGGCATCTGAACTGCATACTATACATTTACTTATTTGGCTTACCTGGCTTATTTTAGTGTCTGTAAATGATCTATGTAAACTTGCAATTAAAAAGTATGTTATTTCAAGCTTTTAGTGGGTGTATAAGCTCAAATATGATTTTATTGTATTCTTTGACAGATTGTTTAGGCAGAGTATTCATGATGAAACTTTGTAGAATGGACAGCAACTGCCTGTTGTAGAGGACGACATTTCGAAAGTCTTCCGCCTTTCATCTTCAGGTCAAACGAAAACCAAAAGGCATTCGAAATGTCGTCCTCTACATTTGTGTCTCTAAAACAGGCAGTTACTGTCCATTCTACAAAGTTTTATCATGATTTTATTGGTTGAATTTGCTTTTATATGCCTCCTCTTGAAGGACTTGACAAATAGTAAAGTAGGTTTGAGAATAGATGCATCCTTTATCTAAAAACCCATTGTACAGGGGAGGAGCTAAGCTTCAAAACGATTTAAACAAGTTATTAATAACATCTAACAGCATTTTTTGCTATTTGTAAGTTTTTAAGAAATAGTTTCCAATTGTTCAGAGGCTTGAGAGTTTTTTATTTTTTTATAGTTTCTGGTAACATTTTTTTTCTTGTTACAGAATTTCAGAGTTATTGAGTATGTAGGCCTAGAATATTACACAGTAACTTCAATTGTACATTTTATAGTTATGAAGAATTTCTGAATTTTTTAGCAGGTTACATAATTGTTTCAATGAGCAGAAACATACCAAGAGAACAGTAAATATAAATATGTTGATGAATTTAAAATTGACTGGATATATTCTGATCAATTATAATAATAATTTTTGGTTTTATTTCTTTTTTTCATGATTTTGTTTTATTTATTTTTTTCATGATTTTGTTTTAGTTCTTTATTGTGATTATAAAGAAATTACTATAAAGTTGGTTTGGTGTCATTAGAATAAAAACAGAAAAAATTGTACTTTATTAAAACAAAAACTGTATTAGATATATTTACAAGTTTTAAGGCATAAATAATAATAATAATAATTACAATTTAATGTGAAAGTATTTTTTATCGTGTTTTAAAAATGTATCACAACGAAAAAAATTTTTTAATTTCACAAGCTAAAAATATGTATATATACTAAATATAGTAGATTTTTTTTCACATAACTTGCATATTCTCTAGAAAGTTTGTTTTAATTTTTGTGCAGTTTGTTCTTGCAACAAAACAAAAGAAACAATGGGTCTTTTAAATCAGACTAGGTCCTGAAAGAGCTAAAATATCAACACTATGCTGTCACAGCAAGATACTTTTAAAATGTTAAAAGACTTCCTAATTTACGTGAAAATATAATACCCTTATTTCTGGAATGCCCTTCAGAAGTATTTTCTTGGGCTGTAACCCACGAATTCTTGATCTTATTCTTGTAGGGAATTTCTTTATCCTAAGCATTTCTTATTCATTCATACCAACCTTTTTTTTTTGTATAATATGTTTTTCCTAACGTTATGATTTGTTGGAAATTAGAGCTTTTGCTTCCTGTCACCTTTCCTGAACTTAAAAAGTATTGTATTATTCTGTAACTGATTCAATTCCTCCTCCAAATAGAGGTGTCCAACATCTGCAGGCATCATTCAAGTTGTCTTCAAGGATTGGCTCTTTTAAGAATGGCTAATTCACTTATTGTGGAGTTGTATAGAATATTATACATTATTGTCATGCCAAAAATGATCCGTGTCCTTTGATAACAACGGACATATGACACATGTTCATATTTTTGGAGGGCTGAATATGATCAATGCTGCATGGTGGAGGTATGCACGCTATTGAATGCCCCTCTAGTTACCAATGAATTACTCATAACACTTCAGTTAAAGATGCAATATTGCCTAGGTCATGTGGTTCTTCTGGTTCAATAACTATTGCTCAGTTTAGACATTTTGGTGACACAGGGGGCAGTAGGAATAAATTTGCAATGTTGAAATATATAATCTGAAGCACAAGTGATAAATTATGCATAATTATTAATTAATATTTGTATAAAATATAAGCATTGAGAAATACTGTAGCATAGCATACACTTGATAAATAATAACTAAATAAAAATGAGCACTTCAATCTTACCTTGACTTAGAGGCTTCTTTCAAGTTTTTTTGGAAGCAAACACTAAAATGACATCGTCAAAGTCTGTTTTATGTTAAATCACTTTCTGTGGCTAAGTAAGCCAAAGCACTAAACCTACTCTGAAAAAAGTATGATCTTAACCAACGTTAATTATTGTCAAACCTGAGAAAGAATGTACACTGGAACAATTTAAAATGGACATTGTTAGGAGTATTTAAAGGGCTATGTATACATTGAGAAATGTGCATAACACCTTGAGATCTTTTAATGTTTTAAGCAGAACTATTGGGTTTGAGGTTTTTTTACAGAAAATTCCTGAACTGCAGAAGCTTGACTTTTAGTGCTATTAGGAAGTATAATCACAAACACATGTTTTATATCTGAGGGTCAAATTCTCAGTACCACTGATAATGTTATATGAAACTTAGCGTGTGTAAAATGAAGAACTTGTTTCCAAATTGTGTCAGAAATTCTGCATATTGGTATAGATGGTTTACAGTGGATAGCATCTATGTGTCAAGGCTAGACTTCATAAACACCTTACAATAAAACAGTCTGAAACTTGCTTCTTACAGTTATTTCAAGCCATTGACATAAAGCTCACAATTAATGATTTAATTGAGATACAGCCACTCTTAATGAATGTGTAGTCCAAAAATATAAGTTAGGTCTTTTATTGTTTTAAAAAGCTCAAATATTTTAGTATTCATTTTTATAACTTACTTTTATTATCCATTGTGATTGTTGTAATTGTAAACATGTTAATTGTTTTATGTATTGAAGTTTGGCTAAGAAAAAAAAAACAGTCAAAAGCAAAACAAATATTCATTAAAGTTGATCTAGGAATTTTATATATTTCATAATGAAACAGACTGAAGAAACTGAAGGTTACCCTGGGATGATGAAACCTGAAGCTGTAGTTCAAGCCCTGAAGGTAAGTGAAATATTATTAAGTATATTTGTTCGTGGTTGAGAAAAAGTAGAAAAAATGCTTTTATGTAATGATTAGTAATAGTAATTTGTTTTGTTTGTTTGGTAGTATTGACAAGACATTTTTTATAGACTTGAGAAATCTGCATTTATAAAGCTTCAGCTTTGGTTTATTTTGTCATACGCCTCACTAAATAACACACACACACACACACATATATATATATATATGGTCATTAAATATGGTTTCATTACTTATCTGTTGTAAATAAAAACAAGTAAAGCTGGATGATAAGTACTTGTTTATAAGATGTATTGGAACAAAAGATTTCTGTGAGTATGGATGTAAACCCATTGTAATTATGAAATTATTCAAAGATATTAAATACCACTTCTCCTATTAGTGTTTCTGCTTACAGTAAAATATAAGTCTTAGCAAATATCTAACTATATATCAGGGTTTCCCAAATTTTTAGGCTCCCTCAAGATCATAGACAGCCTGGCTAAGAAGGCCCATGTAATGATTTAATAGCAATTTTAATAATAGCCACTCTCAAGTACCTTAATTAGTAGACTTAGGAATAAGCCATAGATCTGGGAACTGTTTGTTTTTCAGTTTGGAACTTTAGTAGACTTAGGAATAAGCCATAGATGTGGGAATTGTTTTTTTAGTTTGGAACTTTAGTAGACTTAGGAATAAGCCATAGATCTGGGAACTGTTGTTTTTAGTTTGGAACTTTAGTAGACTTAGGAATAAGCCATAGATGTGGGAATTGTTTTTTTAGTTTCTTTAGACATTTTTTTCATTCCTGAAAATCTTTTCTTGTTATGTCTATTTAAAAACTATAGAAATTTTCTTCTGTGGCAAAACATCAGGTAAGCTTAGTTAGGTTTAATGACTATGATATGTGACAGGAAAATATTCCACTGACTTACTTCCTTATTTACTGAATAGTTTATCATGTTGAAACAAAAGAACTTATGAAAAGAAACTCTATTTCTTAGATACAATTTGATCTTGACCAAGAACATTGTTAGTAAAAATATTGTTATCTAACCTGATAAAGGTAGTGGGGTTGCCATTTTCAAAAGTCACATCGTAGGTCACTAATAAACATTTTCAGTTTTTGCCTCCTTTTTGTTTATGATTTATAGCTGAAAGTGACTACATGATTTTTCTTGTCTTTTTTTGATGGTTTTATAACAACATCTTTTCATTCCCTCCCTTTTATGATGTCACAAAGTGTGGTCTGAAGAATTAATGAAACATTGCCCAGAAAGTAGCTATAGGCAACATCTAAATATAGCTGGAATGAGCCATTTATCAACTGTTTACATCGTATACAGTGGATATATGAAATGGATCATTCCGATTAACAATACAACAAAAAATTTAAATTCTAAGATAGTGGAAAGTATTTTAATGTTTTGTTTATCAAAACAGTGTCTCAGAATAAAATTATGGAAATTTTGCAACCCAAAAAATGCTAAATCAAGTTATTTGAATTTTTTAAAGTAAAAACAAGGTACTGTTTAGTATGTTTGTACTAAGTTTCATGCAAGTTGATTAAGTATTTCCACTGATATTTGAGATGAAGAAAACTTGGAATAATATGGGAAAAAACCCTGAAAATATCTTGAAATCTTCCAAAAGCTATAGTTCATTGTGATAATGCTTATACCTGTCACACAAATTCTAATCCAAGGGTATTTCAAAACAAGTACTCACCTCTTTTTGTGGTTGGGTCATGTTCAAACCCTTTATTATAATTGCTCTGTGGCATCATAGTTTCTAGAAGCACACAATTGCTGACAGTTTAACAAAGATCTCAGGTGCATTGTTATTTGTTGAAAATTTGATTTTAATACTTACATTATAAAGATAGGTATAAAATGGAAACTAGGTATATAAACTGAAGTTTTTTCTGGATATGTGACTTGAATAAACTTGAAATCCAGCTGAAATTGTTTGGTCATCAGCTCAGATTTCATTGTGAAGTACTGGTGAGAAACAGTTGTGTCTTTACTGAATCTGTCATACAAGTGTGAGAGTAGACCATTAAGAACCATGAAGTAAATCAAAATTATGGTTGTTTAGTGATACAGGAATAATAAACTTTGCAAGGATAAATAAGGAATGAAACTTTACATGGAGTTAGGTTCATGAAATTCACAAAATAAAATTGAGACCATAAAACGTTTTATTGTTATAGTTTGGTGGCTGCAGGTGTTTATTTTAGACCCTGTGCTATTGATAAAGCTTTTATACTATGCCCTCTTACATGTAATTTGTATTCAAGAAATTATTGTGTTGTTATTTTAGCTTATTTAAAAAATGCATAACATTAATGAACACTTAATGATAGTATGTAATGATTCATTATATGTTATAATTTTGATACTGTAAACGTGACTACTGACTTTATTACAGGTTCTAGATGTTCATGAGCAAATAGAGAGGAACAATGATAGTGATTTGGATTCTGAAGAGATGGCCACTGGAGAAAAGGCTTTAGTTAGAGAGATGTGCAATGTAAATCGCATGAGATCCTTTTCGTTTCAAAATTGTTTAAAATTAGTTTGTATATTTTGTTTCTAAGCTCTCCTTGATTATGTTTTGTGTGTTATATTATAGTTTATGCTGTTGTTTTTGTATTCCCTTTCCTCGTTTATTTTTGACTCTGAGTTATTTCTTTGTAAAGCTCTCCTTGATTATGTTTTGTGTGTTATATTATAGTTTATGCTGTTGTTTTTGTATTCCCTTTCCTCGTTTATTTTTGACTCTGAGTTATTTCTTTGTAAAGCTCTCCTTGATGATGTTTTGTGTGTTATATTATAGTTTATGCTGTTGTTTTTGTATTCCCTTTCCTCGTTTATTTTTAACTCTGAGTTATTTCTTTGTAAAGAAGAACTGGTTATTGCTATCCATGTATTAGGCTAATGCAAAATGACTTCTGCCAAAAGTTTAATTTCATAAACATTTTGGAAATGAGGCTGTATCGCACAATTGTTTTAAACCTACAGGCTTTGAATCTAAAAGTTCATGATTGCCACCTAAACATGCTCTGCACTTTGTGACCATGTTGTGCTGTAAGAGTGATTATTAAATTCCACTACTTGGTCATATAATAGTACTCCAAAAGTTGTTAGTGTGTGTGCTGTTGACTAGTTGTGTTACTTCTCGTCTGTTAGCTCAAAATTAGGGACAGTTATAAACAGATAACATTTTGTGTTCATATGCATAAAAATTATAAAATTAATAGACAAAATATGACTGCATATCCACATCACCTAAGACATCATATGATCAGTATATTTTACATATGCAATATACTGAGTGTAATAGAAATTTATGAAGGGGGTTTTTAATAAAATATTCTGTCATTGAATAATCAACCTACATTTTTGTAGATCCCTAATGAACAATTCTACACTTTGCCAATTGTTTGAGCTTATTATACCAATCAAACAGTATATTATTTAAATATTATGGATACTTTCTATACTGTAGTATTTTGAGAATCAGTCTGAGAATAAAAAATACAGTTGTGTTTTAATGACTGTATAACTGCAGTTGATTCATTAGGTGGTGTGTTAACATAAGAATTCTGTATAATGAATTAAACATATACAAACATTTTAAGGGTATATAAGATAGAAAAAGCAAACAAAAAATCCAGAATTGTTGTTTTTCCAGCACAAATGAATAAAAAGATATATTCAAGCAGACTCAAAAAGTATTCCTACAGTTTTAAAAGATAGTTACAGTACTTGCTTATGACCAGGACCAGTGTTATTAGATAGGCAAAGTAAGCAACTGTCAAGGTGGCAGAATAAAGAGGCTGCAAAATCATTTAATTTTACCATTTCATTTCCAAAGTCACTTTATAATGTGTTCAACACTAATCTATGTTTCATCCTGTCATGGAAGAACACCTTAGAAGATTTACCAAGCAGGAACTCTTCAGCACTACCTTGGAAAGGAGACCAAGAATAAACTGATTCATTTACTGTTTAAAAGAATTATACTCCAGTTGACTGCTTCTAGAAATGCCAAGTATTACTAAATTTTGGTCAACTGTATTTCAGACATAATCCACGCGGAACAGATGTCAATTGATCATTCAGTTTGTCACAGCTACTGGGGCATCTGCAGTTGAAGATGTTGAGATAAGTATTCCCTAGAATATTTGACACTGAAAGACACAAGTAGTGTCAATAAGACCAAAGTTATTCTGAGAACAGCTGAATGAAATGGCTAGAAGACTATTGAAGCCAAGAGTGTGAAAATGGAACTATTCTGAAAAGAATGACTAACAGTCTTCAGAAAAGAACTAGACACTTTAATTCAAGAGCTTTGTCTGTTCATGCAGCACCTCCACTATGAATCTCAAGTTGAACAATTCAACCAACTGTAGTACTGGTGCAATGATGTTCTTAGGTTTGATTCAAAGATTTTATGCATTCTTCTTTTGCTTGAGTTTATCATTTTCAAGTATTGCCATAGCATGTTTCCAGTCAACTGTGAAACCATAGAGAGACAAAGGATGTAAAAGTAGAACTGATGCTACTTGCACAGTGATATCAGCTGTAAGAGTAGAACTGATGCTGCTTGCACACTGATATCAACTGTAAGAGTAGAACCGATGCTACTTGCACATTGATATAAACTGTAAGAGTAGAACTGATGCTGCTTGCACACGGATATCAGCTGTAAGAGTAGAACTGATGCTGCTTGCACACTGATGTCAGCTGTAAGAGTAGAACTGATGCTGCTTGCACACTGATGTCAGTTGTAAGTGTAGAACTGATTCTGCTTGCACATTGATCTCAGCTGTAAGAGTAGAACTGATGCCACTTGCACATTGATATCAGCTGTAAGAGTAGAACTGATGCTGCTTGCACACTGATATCAGCTGTAAGAGGTTTGTGGTGCTTTAGTCTTCATTGAAGAAGACGACACCGGAGCCATTGGAACAAGGTCATATTCCAAAGCAAAAGCAGATACTTCTAAGATGTTAAGTACCAAGATTGTGGCATCACTTTGCCAACAAATGGCTGCAGGATAGTGATCTTGACATGTCATGAACTATTCCATGGAATAGGAAAAAACAAAAGATCTCTTTCATCGGTACATTGGTACATAAACATTGATTGGTGCAAAGAAAAATAGAAATCACTTGAAAATGTTTGCAAGAATAGCAGATTTGTTTATAAAAAGTAAAAACAGGTTAGCATCATCATTTCCTAACATTCTTGTCATATTGGAAATTCTTTCTTTGTCATTCACCACTACTAACTGATACAGAAACTTTACCAAACTCAAACTAATTTAACACCTACCTAAGATCAACCATGACACACACAAAACTGATTGTACAGACGACAGTTTGTTCGAGTATGAGACTTCACAAACTTAGACTTGAAGCAAGCAGTGTGATTTTCCGTAAGAGAAATAAAGAAAATTGAATTTTCCATAACTGCAAAATTTTGAACTGTTAACTGTTATTGTGACATTCCCTCATACTTTAACATATAAATGCATTTTTATTTGTCATTTCTCTTGTCTTTTGAATAAAGTAGAATTTCAAAGTGAAAACTTGCCTAGGATGGCAAAACAGGTAGCACTAGACTTGCTTGTTACAAAAGAAATACTTACTAAGAGTTTTCCTTGGAATTTTTGATGCCTTTGCTAACAACAAAGCACATTGCAGGCAGCTTAAGTATTGCAAATGTAGCTCTGGCATTAATCTAGAACTATATGGTAAACTTTACAAAGCAATTCAAGTTAGTGATTTATGTAATACCTACTTTTTGTAAAATTAAAAGTTTAGTTACAAATTTAATCTAACATAGTTATGTCCATAGAATGCAATGTTTGAATTTAATGTATGATTAGTGGGCTTAATTCTTTATTAAATACAATTCTGAACAGGTTAGTTAATTCCAAATATAGTTTATTATGTAGAATACCAAATTTTTCAACTTATGTTAGTGTTGAAACAAACTTTTCAAAATGGAATGTCTTTTTATTATGAGAAATGTAAATGATTACTAACCATTGAAGCCTGCCTAGCGTAAAACAGTGTTCCTTCCAAGTAAAAGTGATTGTCTGCTGTAGTAAATGGATTTTAATAAGAATTGAAGGAAAAAGTTAATTGTTCTTACATTAAATTGTGTTGTCAAAGTCTTGCTTAAGCTTTATTTTGGTATTAATGACTGTATGTTTTAATATAAAAAAAAAGGAATGATCTTTTGTCAATTAAACCAAATATTTACTTGCATTGTTTCACTTTCTTCCTCTCTTTTTTTCTAAACTTTCTAATTTTTCGTAGGTTGTTTGGCGAAAATTAGAAGATGGGCCAGGCTAGTGGATTCCTTCTTATGTTTGGACTTCTCTCTAATAACGTGGATAATTATTAAGAACTGAATAGAATACGTAATAAATGTGGAATGATAGATAATTAAAAATACAAGAAGGTGGACTTGTCACAAATAGCCTCATGAAATAAAAATCTAATATAATTTCAAATGTAGATGATGCTGTACTTGTTAGTGCCAGATTGTATGAATGTAATAGATTTCCAGAAATGAATTTTTGTAAGTTAGCGTTCATGTAACATCTTTCCCATGTTGAACACTTGTAAGCTAAAATCTAAGTGAAAGTGGAGTAGAAGAGAAAGTGGTGAATGCTCACAAATGTTACTTCATTGTGTTTGTAATTTATGAAAAAAGAAATTAATAGTCTAATAATTTAATGTGTGTTTCAGTACATTTTTGTTAAGTAATCGAAGGAAACTATTAGCTATTGGCAAAGTCTCATATAAAAAACCTTAAAATTTGGCTGTAGGCATCTTCACTATTAATGATGTAGCTTTGTGTGCAGATATTATAAGATTTTGCATTACCTGAAATTCTTATACATGTGTTTTGTTTATATATAATGATATCCTTCACATACTCGTGTTACCAATATAAGACTTGTAAAACTACATAGCAGCTATTTTAGGATACAACATAGATTCTTGTTAAAGATATGTATTTTTCTGTCTTAATATATATATATATATATATATAAAGTATATTTTACAAATCTCTAACCTGTATAGAGGTGATTTAGTATGCTCAAGTAACTTTAACCATACTGTGGTGACTATGTACATGTGGTATTAACAGACATGTACCTGATAACAGTTTAGATATGTATACAACGTGCTGTAAAGGTTTGAAAATTAAGAGAACAAGAAGAAATTGTTTACCATACACTATTTTGTTTAAGTGTTATAGTACAGATAAATCAAGAAATGTACTAATAGTTATCATTTTCCAGAAGTTAAACTCTCAGAATCAACTTTTTCTGAAATCTTTTTGTGAGGTATTATATCTAAAATTGTTTTGATATGGTTTTTCTAAAACCCAGATTAAAGGTTTCGATGTGTCTGATAAATGTTTGTAAATAACTTAACTCTAGAATTTTACTAGAATATACGTCTTTATAAAATACTTTAAATCTACATGTTGTTTTATCAAAAACATTGGTTTATTAAGATGATTTGGTGCGTGGTCCATAAGGTAAGATGCTCAGCATCCCACTTTGAATAGAAAAAGAAACAACTGAATGTTTCTGTTGACTATATTTTGTTAGGCATATTACAATAATTGAAACACTTTTAACTGGTAAAGTCATCTGTAAGAAAACCTTAGAATTTGGCTCTTTACATTCTTGGGAATGTAATTTTACATCATAGTTGCCATATAGTAAACAGTTAATATAATTGCACAGTTTAATTCTCTGTATTATGTAGGTCAATGATATTATATATACATGTATATGCAATGTAGCATTGTGTCCACTAACTACTAAGTACCTACAATCACTATAAACATTCCATTCCTTTCAACTAACATTTAAAATTAAACAAGACACTTTTGTAAATTATGGTTTACTACAGGACAGCTACTCTTCACCTACAGTCAGTGTTTTGTTAACAAGCTACACACATTACTGTTCCTTCAATGTAGTATACAATTATATAGGCCACTCTCTTTAACAATGTTTACTACAGACCAGCTGTTATGTATCTATAATACAATGAATTGTTCAAAAACAAGTACTTCTGTATATTGGAACTAGCTTATTAATTGTGTCTTCTTAAAAGTTTAATTTCTAAAAAACAAGTTTTGTACTTCATCAAGATAATGGGGCATTTTAATGTGCAGCTAAAGTGTAATAGTGACATTCAGAAAATAATCAGGGGTGTGGAATTTTTGAAAGAATGTCTTATATGTTATTCTTAAAAATCGACATACTTCTTCCCTGTCCCACAAAACACATACAAAAATAAGTAGAATGTAACTTAGAATTTTCTTTTTAACAGTGAATAGTCAAAAAAGATTCTGTGATTCACATGTTGAGAAAGCAAAAGGAAAGGCTTTGATGACCCAATTGTTTGAACAATTTCTGTGCAATGAAATCCATAATGTTAAATGCATACTTTTGGGGGTAATGTGAAAAGATACTGTATGTAGATTCAAAGTGTTTTTTTGAAAGTTAGTAAAACAACATTATTTAAAAAAGTTTTTAAAAATTGTTTCATAAGTTGTGAAAAATAGGAACATGGATTCTTTGTTGCTATATTCTCTATATGTTGCCAGCTGTTGAATTTTTTACAGTGCAAAATAGATAATAAGGGGGATTTATGTAAGTATTAGTAATCACATTTGAATTGTGTTTGTGTGTATATATATAATATATGAAAAACTTAGATGCAAAACTCTATAACAAATTTTGAGAAATCACCTTTTTTGCAGCTTTTAGAAACAAAGGTTTACAGTAATGCTGCCATAAATTAAAATGCTGTTTAATATATTTATACATATAACAATTTAAAGTTTTCCTTGAGCTGGCAAAAGCAACGTTATAATATTGTTATATTAATTTAAATACATTTGTTACTCTGTGTGTTATTAGGGTTTCTGAATTAAAGGGATATGTATATGTGTGAATATAGTTTAAAGTTTAGGGGTATACATTTGTTACTCTGTGTGTTATTAGGGTTTCTGAATTAAAGGGATATGTATATGTGTGAATATAGTTTAAAGTTTAGGGGTATACATTTGTTACTCTGTGTGTTATTAGGGTTTCTGAATTAAAGGGATATGTATATGTGTGAATATAGTTTAAAGTTTAGGGGTATACATTTGAAAAATTTTCTCTTTATTTTCTAGACTTCTCCAATTCAGAATGTTCAGAAATATGTCCAAAAGGGCAAAGTATAACAATAAAACTTGCTGTCTCAGGCATCTGGCAATATGAATTCCACACCCCTGCATATTTACCACTTTACATCTAGCTGTTAATTTATTTTCTTCTTATTCTGGGTTGTACCCTATTAGATAAAATTTTTTTTTGTTGTTCATTTAGTATATTTGTCTCAAAGTTTGTGCTCTTCCCAGCTATCACCCTTAATTATATGTTCCTCATAGGTGTATATAATCTTTTATATCTTCTCTTCACACTTTAATCCTTAGGTTTGTAGGAAGATTCTGTGTTCCTTTTAAACTTGTATCCCTAGATTTATATAATAGTTTTAATGCATAGATTTATATAATATTTTTTGTTTTCCTCTCAGAATTTTACCCTCTCTGTTTGAATAATAGTTTATCTTCACCTCAGACTTGTATTCTAAGTTTGAATAATAGTCTGTCAGTTTCTCTTAAGCTATTGCTCCTGGGGTTAAGTAATAATTTGTGTGTTCTTCTTAGGCATATACTTCTGTGGCTAAATAATGGTGTTTGTATACATCTCAGATCTACACTCCAAGGCTTAAATAATTGTTGTTCTGTGTCCTTTTTTATATATTTACTTCTCTATTTAAATAATCCTTCTTTGTATTTCTCTCCAACTCTGTCTTAGTTAGGCATAAGTAACATTTTTGTGTTCTCCTCAAACCAATGCTCTTATATTTTCATATTAGTCTGTGTGCTGTTTATTTTTAACCCACTTCATTTGATATGGGCCCCTTGTCATCTGAAAGGGGAAAAACCTCCTTTACAAAGGCCAAGTTAGGCCTTATGTTGGGCCTTGTCTATTAACATTAGCACTAAGAAGTTTTCCTAAATACAGATCAGTAGTAGAAAGTTATATGTTCAAAAACAAGTTTCAGGCAATTAAAAAAAGCACATTTTTGCATATATCTTTGTGAAGTTCTATTATCTTCAGAAAAATAGAATACAGAATATTTTGGATAAGACAAAGTATGATTAGCATGTTATTGTTTAATATGTAATATGCCAGATAAATTTCAAACAGGGCAAACTTAATTCATTGATCAATTTTAAAGAAAATGGTGTCCTCTATAGAATACATATGGTGAAACAAAACATTATGGGATATTATAACTTTAAAAACAAATTAGCATTTATACATAAAAATTGCAAAAGGTAGTAGATTTTTTTAAATGTATGTTGAAAAATTAAATGTTTCTCAAGGTGAACAATATTTTCCTTAATATTTGTTAGTTGATTAGGTGTATTTCAAATGGTGTTTATTTACCTGTAATGATTTCAGCATGCTTTTTTATACTACATAACAACCTGAATAAATTTTTCTTTGTCTTATTTTTACATATTAACAATTTTTGTAATGGTTGTCACCTTATTTAGTGCTAGGATATTTGTAGAATATTTCATTTTATTAGTACAACTTTCCAGACATTGAGATTTTGAAGATTATATATCATGTTATTGTGGTTCAAATGCATAATTTATTTTGTTTAATTGGTACAAGAATAAAAGCCTGAAGTATAGCCCATCAGTGAACACTTTAAAATTAGCATTTTGGCATGTTGAATTGGTTACATATTGATTGGTTGTGAACAGCTGAATAAAGGAAGATAAACATAGTGAAGAATATACTGAACTACAACTTTTGTGGAAAGTAATGTAAAATTTGGTTTCCAAGAATTATGAATAGAACATCAAAACTGTTTCCAGCTTTTATTTGCTAGAAAGTTAATGTAGTTACAACTTCAGATTTGGAAATTTGAAGTTAAATTTTTAGTACAATTATATATAAAGATCAATCCAGCTATATTATATCAAGGATGGTAGATCACATTCCAGCATCATTCTTGTAGTTTGATAATAAATGAAGCTTTATTTAAAGTAGAGTTTGTTATAAACCTTTTTGTTAGAAAAGGTAGTGTTTCATGTACAAAGATTTGAGTTCAAAAGAAATATTTAAACATACTATATACTAAATTTATGTTTAGAAAATTAAATGTTTCTGTCTCCCAGCTGTTTCTACAATAAAACTTTCCACTTGGTATTATTATTAGTATACTTGTCAAAATATATATTTTAACATAACTTTATTATGACATGATACTATTCCAGGTCATATGTATTTTAACATAACTTTATTATGACATGATACTATTCCAAGTCATATATCTTTTAACATAACTTTATTATGACATGATACTATTCCAGGTCATATATATTTTAACATAACTTTATTATGACATGATACTATTCAAGGTCATATATTGTTTAACATAACTTTATTATGACATGATACTATTCCAGGTCATATATCTTTTAACATAACTTTATTATGACATGATACTATTCCAGGTCATATAT